CTCGGCCGAGCCGATAAGCTGGTGTTTGACTTGTCTGCGTGAAGCTCTATTCAATCTATAAATACCGACAACTGATTGTGGTTGAGACTCTGGGAGTACTTTAGTAGAGCTATGATAGGATTTCAAGAGGGACACTTCCATCAGCATTGAAGCACATTCTTGAAGAAGACGGAATCCTCAAGTGTCATCCAAACCGACGCGTAAATCTAAGGGTCCTCATGGGTGGCCGATGTGTGACAATGGAGGAAATGACGTGCTGGGATCTGCATAGGATAGGTGGAAGACGATAAAATCTTAGAAGATCTTAGAAGGAGATAAAGTATATTCAAATGTCTAAGATAGTAAAAAGAAGTTATAAAATCCTTCTTTACGGAGAAAAAACGTTACTGACTTTTTTCCAATAAAATGCGAATATGTAAAGCAGACAAAAACGTGTGGTGAAAGTTGACTACGGCTTAACAAGTACTTGTACGAAGGTGAAAAGTGGAATTTTGGGCAAACATGAGTTGAAATCAGTTCATATCGTTGCGAATATTTTCTCCTCGAAGGCAATTCAAAGCCTCTTATTAATTCTTATCATCTCAAAGTGTCATAAAAACGATTCTATGGCATCAGTGAATCTCCACTTTTTCGGAATTCTCACCACACAACGTTTCCTTGGCATCTAGTGAATAGATTCCACCACTTTTTCCTATCGCTTCGTTCGCTCGTATCAATCGTGCACGAAGGTCTTCGAGGTTTTCGAGCGAGGGTTCGCTGCTACTTGAAGAACTTCTTTTTGTCATGAATCTCGCTGAAATGCTGATTCAGTCGATTTTCCCTCTTCTCCTGTGACAGCCGAGCTTGAGCATCCACACATGACTTGTAGAAGATGGATTGTTTCCAGACAAATATGGTACCCAATCCTCCACCAACCTTACACAGATGAAGGGCTTGGTGAAATCGGTGAGCTCAAACCAGCACCGTATCCACGATGAATAGGATCACTACCGCTGCGCTATCAGTTCTCTTAATTTCGAACTGATTTCTGAAGGAACAATTTCTGAGACTGGTTTTCTCTTGATAGGTGAACTCTTGATTAATTTCGACATTACTGTTAGGAAATCCTAAATCCGACAAGATAATAATCTCGACATTCCTCATTAATTACAAATTCTTCTTTGTAACCTACACATGATGCTTTCATATACAATTTATTCGGTTAGCTCACGCATCGACAATTTCGCTTTTCTCAGAGCCTGGAAAGGTCAGGTTGCCCACAACTCAGCCAGCCAGTTAGACATCTCTATCACCGAAGGACGAAGCACTACTAAGACTATATTTCAATGGCATCAAACGCAAAACAACTTTCCAACGTAATCATCGCTTTCTATAAATCCTCCTTTGAGTTGTCCAAGTGGAGACCATTGATAACAATGGCAGCAATACTAGTCATGGATAGAGAAGACGACCACTACAAAAGAGACACTCCATTTTGCTCTAACATTTTTTGAACTAATTGAATAAACTAGCTCGAGTCAAACTATTGTCTCAGTCTGATCAAGCGGCTCTGAGGAAGGCGAAGACGTCGCGACGCTATTCGAATAAGACTTTTTTCATGTAAGCTGAAAAGTCTAAAGAAACGTACTAAGTAGTCAAGTCGAGGTATAAACCCTTTAGGGACTGTGGACCACTGCTTCTGGATCCGAATTGGCAACTCTGGACGGTCTGCTCCACCTCCTCTGCATCTCTAGCCCCCACTGTGTAGCGTGTAACAATGGCACGCTGTTGCGTCTAAAAATGGGACGCTGGGGGTTGGAGATGCAGAGGAGGTGGAGTAGACCGTCCAAAGTTGCCAGTTAGAAGATGCGGAGGCCGTGGGTCCACGGTCGCGAAAGGGTGTAGTTCGAGCTATCGACTGACTATTAAAAGCCTAACGAAGTAGCTTTGACCGGCGAAAATCTAAGCGAATACAAGTGAATCCAACTCTTTTAAGTCGGTCCGCAGAGTTCATATTCTCTTCATTCTTCACAGAGCACTAGAAAGGTCCGTCCAAAAACCAAACTGAGTGTCGAATTCTCCTTTTTTTTCGACTCTCGAATGACTGCCAAAAGCCCACAGAGCCAGCTTTGTCCGGCGGAATTCCAAGCAAATACGAGTAAATCCCGCTCTTTTCCTCGTTTGCTTAGCGTTTTTCCCTTCGTTCTTACAGCGCACAAAAAATGTTTATCGAAAAACCAAATTCACTAGTGAATTCTCTATTTTTCGGCTATCTAATGGCTACTAAGAGTCTGCTTGAAAATCTGTGTTCCCACGTAAAAACCACAAAAAATCAGGAGAGCTCGAGCATGAAGAATGATTCACGCGGTCCCCAAGGGGTTTGATTGTGGGTGTGCAGGATTGTATAGCTCGAGTCGAAATAATCTGCTCTGTCGTCAAATCCGCCATTGCAGTGATAAGGCGTTCTTCTGCGCCGCATTCCACCGAACGCTTTGGCCCGCAATTAGCTGCTTTTTTCGAATAACTCTTATTTGTTCCTTTTATTATAGAAGAGAGCGCGCATGGCGCAGTGGTTAGATCTGTGCGGTGACGCACGCGTGGTCAATGGTTCGACCTCGCGCCAAGGCTCAACATGCCTTCATCCTGGGGTCCTCAACAAGCCCTCATCCTTTAGGTGTCGGTGTTTTCGTTCCAGACTCGTCTAGGAGAATAGCCGCGACTTGAGACATCGGCAGGCCACAGCCAGTCATTTCAGAGATCTGATATATCAACTAAGCGATGTTCGATGAGGTCGAATTCTTGGCGTACCTCTCAGTAATTGATCGACTCTAAGAGCTAAATCCTTGGTTCTTTTCTGAGGAGAGAAAAGATATTGGTCCCTTGAATTTTTGAATTATCTTTTGTATAGAGTGGATCTCATCAAAAGTGCCGTGTGATCGCTTTGAATTAGTTTTTAGTGGATTTTTGCTTGCCTTCTCGCCGATGTCTCCATTCAAATATGTGGGTTTTTTCATGTCCTCATGAGTCTTACAGCTCCCATTCGGGTTGTCGCTTTGTTGATTTTCTCATTTCTCAGTTCACTATACTATTCTCGAAGAAATCGACTTCCTATAACCTCGCCATGATCGATCTATAATGGATTCTTTCTTGATTTAGCCAAAAAAAGTCTCGACTCTGATAAATAAAGTTAATAATCGAGACTTCTACGTTTCTACTGCTTTTCGCAGTGTTGTGATGTTTCAAATGTGCCTAAGAGAACTGAGTGATAAGCATAATTGTGACCTCAGGCGGGAGTTGAACCCGCGTTTCTCCCGTACCGAGGCGCGTGCTACCGCTACACCGTTTCGCTACCACTCATTCTTTAACGTCTCTCGTCATAGCTATCAGCCACGTTGAAGAACGACGGAGACGTTGAAGAATGATTAGTAACAAAAGGTGCATCTCTGGCGCAGCGGTAAGCATGTGCTTCCGATATGGGTGAAACGCGGGTTCAGCTCCCGTTTGAGATCGAGTTTTGCTTGCTACTCAATTCTCTTAGGTGAAGAAAGTTCATTCGGCTAACATCTTGACGTGATCGTCTTCGTCAGAGCCGGTGGTTCGAGTGTTGTCCACAGGGTTTGGCCTCGTTGTGGATCTTCGTCTTCGTTGTCGTTCGAGTCCAGTGATTTTCAGTGAAGTAATGCAAGATAAAATATGCTGTCTAAGAGTATTGATAATAAGTGAGGTCTCAGAATAGTCGATTGAAAGTGTTGATACATATATGCTTGCGTAATAGCCGTAAGCCAAGCAAATGACAGTCAACAATCAATCACTCTGAAAGAACACCACGGTGATCCTTTTATCGTACGTTGAGTGGATTCTTTTCGGTTATCCGGAGACATGAATATTCGATCCCACTCGCTGAATGAGAATTCTTTACTATAGTGTTTTTAATCATCTAAAAGTTTAAATCGCGCGGAGAACACTCTTATGAAACCTAAGCTTTCGTTTCGAGTGTTTTCTTAAGACCACTGCTCAAATTTCAATATGCCTGATAATCATTATTTTGTGCCACGCATGTCAGTGGTCTGTCAATGAGGGCTGACTTATAGAGCCCGATACACGTGATTCGATCTTGCGATCTCGTCAGTCGGGCAGTTACCCTTTTCTCGTGTTTTGTCAAGAGCAATCGAGTGCACAACAGTCTATGTTTGGTGAGATTTTCACTGGACATAGAGTGTAAAAACGTTCGTCGTCGATAACTCTTAGTGTGGAGACTGGAGCTCCACAGAGATTAGCAAAAGACGAAAAAGGGTAACTGCTCGACTGACGATGATCGCAAGATCAAAACACGTGTATCGGGCTCTATAAGTCAGCCCTCATTGACAGACCACTGACATGCGTGGCTCAAATAATGATTATCAAGCATATTGGAACTCTTATGGAAGTTCTTGTCCAGCTAGTGGGGTTGGATATTCATTTGTCCCCGGATAATCGAAAAGTACGTTGGGTGCAATTAGTTCGGCGTCGATTCCTCTAAATAGGGGTATTTTCACGAGGAACTGACTGAACCAAAAGGCATCGTGCTACTGATGAGGCTGAACGCTGAAAACACGTGTCTAGCACTTTATAAGTGCCATAACAAACCTCATGAAAGGCTTATAGTAATGCAAGGTGGATTGCTTGGACTGAACAAATCCCTATCAACGGTCGGTGATCTGCCGAGAAAAATCTGGACTCGAATGATAACCAAAGCGAAGACCACAGCGGGGACGAGAGACTCTGGATAAGATTCGAATCATCGGCTTTGAAGAAGACGAAGACGTCGAGACGTCAGCCAAAAAAAATCTCATTGATCACTCTCGTGGTATCAGATGGATCATGAAAGAATGCATTATTGATTGGTATTGATTAGTTTCTAATAGCTTGTCGTACAGCCTTCTTTTTCAGAAAAGTCTGATCGTATCCTCTTGATGAACGAGGACGCACTGAAACCAAAAGGTATATCAGTTATCAATGTTCAGTGGTGTGCAGAACTTTGACGTTAAGCGGGACTCGAACCCGCATTTCGTGCTTTTCGAGGGCGAGTGCATAACCAATTGCACTAGCGGCGCCTGTTTTGCCACCACTCTTTGCCAGTTATATTAGTTCCAGTTTTTTTCTATATAGCCTTTTATATTCTGATTTAAGCCTCTAGGGACGATGAAAGGCCTCTCGAATCCTCAACTTTTCAGAGATCTTTTTTCTCTGTAAAAGCGAAGCTTTAGCTTTTATGGTTACTCATAAGTCGGGGAAGAGCCCTCTCTTGCGGGAAGCATGCGTGTATCAAACACTAATGTCTTTTGCTACAGCGTTATAAAAAGACTTCTCGAAAAAACGGCCACGTAGCGCAGTAGCCAGAGATTTAAGCTTGCGAATGAACACCAAATGTGCTATAGAAAATCTTTGTCCAGCGAAAGGGATCATTTCTTCATTTGCCATCAGATAATAGAGAAGAACCAGGGTTAATATGCAGGATGACCGTCGCATGTTACTTCTTTGTAATTCTCTATTTTCGCTGCTTTTAAGCAGTAATATGATATTATGTAGAGCGCATGTGGCGCAGTGGCTAGAGGTGCCCTGCGTCGCACACGAGGTCAATGGTTCGATCTCGTGCTCATGGCTCACCAAGCCATCCATCCCTCCGGGGTCGATAAATTGGTACCAGACAGGTCTCAGACTTGTCTGGGAGGATAAGCAGCACTGACTCGGTTCAGCGGGAGGCCACCGCGAGTCATTGTAAAGGCCAGATGTGCATTCAATCACCTCAAACGAAGGTAAAAGTTGAAGACGAATCCATGGCGCATTCCCCAGGGATTCATCAACGCCGAGAGCTTTATCCTCTATCCTTTTTATGATACTATGTATATACATTTGAGAGTAATGAGTGTTATGAAAATCATTTGATAACAGGTGGAAGTTGACCCCGCGTCTCGCCCATACCGGGGTTCATTTCCCGCCTGTTGTCGGTTGGTTCGAATTCTACTCATTACTCTTAAAATATTCGTCTTTAGTTTGTTCTAATTCACTGTCATAGATTTTTTTATTTCCACTTTTTTTTATCTATTTTCTAACCATTTAGTATCTCCTTGATCTTTCCTTTTACATTCAACTTTCAGATGGTTTGGCGAATTCTGACTTTTCGCAATCGGTTGAGACGAATTTTTCCCATGCGACAGAGACGAAGGTTGGTCTCATCTACGTTACCGTTTTTCTACTACAATTTTATTCATTTTTTACTCATTTTCTGAGATGAATGTCTATTCAGTAATTCCATCACCTGTATCACCTGTCGTCCCGTTGATCGTCGAGTGACTCGAGCGGGTACCAGCAACTCTTCCATTTTTCCCTATCGCGTGCAAGAGTAGCCCAGTGGGTCCTCCTCGCTCTAGGAATTCGCTGAGCATCATATCTTTCTTCCATCGCTTTCGTGAAGAAATCGGACCAACGGGTCAGTGGTCTTCCTTTAGAGCGCTTGACGTCCCGAGGAATCCAGTCGGTAACGGCTCTCGTCCATCGGTTGTCGTTGAAGCGCATCACGTGTCCGGCCCACCTTATTTTCGATATCCTGGCGTGTAGAACGGCGTCTCTGATTTTCGATCGTTGACGTAGGTCGGAAGTTCGGATCCTTTGTCTCATTTGCGAAATACGAGATACTCCTAGCATCGACCTTTCGACTGCGCGTTCGATAACGGCAAGTGATCTTTCATCCTGCTTACGTAGCGACCAGGTTTCTGCTGCATACGTTAGGGCAGGGATAATTGTCGAGTTGAAAAGGTGGGCACGGAGTCGGATGTTCTTTGTCCTCTTCACTACATCTTCGATGCTCTTAAACGTTCCCCAAGCCGCTCGTTTCCTCCTGCTCAACTCTGGGGCTAGGTCGTTCATCATGTTGATTTCACGACCTAGATAGATGTAACTGGAGCATTCGGAAATTGTCGTTCCGTTGAGCGTGAATGGGGCATTAGAAACCCATCCGTTCCTCATGAACATTGTTTTCGTTAGATTCAGTTGAAGACCGATCTTTCCACAGGCGTTATCGAAATCGGTCAACATTCGTTCCGCTTGGCTGATGTTTGGTGTTATGAGAACGATATCGTCAGCAAAGCGAAGATGGTTTAATTGTCGACCGTCAATTTTCACTCCCATTTCGTCCCATTCTAATGTCCGCATGACGTTTTGTAGGGTGGCAGTGGATAGTTTTGGCGAAATTGTATCGCCTTGTCGAACCCCTCTGCTTACGTCAATGGCTATTTTGTTGTAGAATGGAGATATTCTGGTCGTGAAATCTTTGTAAAGCTCACGAAGGATCATTATGTACCGAGTAGGGACGCCCTGGTTATCCAGAGCCTCTATAACCGCTTCTGTTTCCACTGAATCAAAGGCTTTTTTCAGATCGATAAAAGTGAGACAGAGTGGTTGTTTGTACTCTCGTGAGACTTCATTGAGTCTTGTAATCGTGTGGATGTGGTCCATGGTACTAAATCCTTTTCGAAACCCTGCTTGTTCGCATGGCTGTCCTTCGTCCAGTGTTCTGTCAATCCTGTTCAGGATGACTCGAGTAGAGAGTTTATAGACAACGGACAGCAAGCAGATTGGGCGATAATTGCCTATGTCGTGAAGGTCTCCCTTTTTGAACAACAATACGGTCTTGCTGGTTTTCCATTGAATAGGGACCTTGCATTCTGACAGGTAGCGAGTGAAGAGCCGAGCCAGGGTGTTGATGAGAACTGGCGGCAGGTTCTTCAGGTGTTCTGGTCTAATCCTGTCTGGACCGGGTGTTGTCACTGAAAAAAAAACAGTAATTCCATATAGTCTAAATATTCTATTGTTTATAAATAGTTAGGTATATTAAGCATTTTGTTTCAGGTTTATTACTATCTTGACGATGATGCAACTCCCTTTGTTTCAATATTACCTGTACCTCCAGAACTAGCCACCTTGAAAGACTTCAAAAAAGTCTTCACGAAGAAGGGCTTCAAATACTTCTGTAAAGGACTTGATGCTGATATCAAGCGGTAATCTGAAGGCATTTAGTCTATTAAAATTTCTCGAACTGAAACTCAATTTGTTCATTTTAGTTGTCGGTAATTGTTGAAGAATCACTGATTCATGATTGACAAATATTAACTAGAAAATAATAAGAATTCAATGATTAATTAGTTGAAACTTGATTTGTCTGTGAGTTCTTTGTCTATACTCAGTCAATTGTTATTGTCTGTCTGTTCGTCTATTATCAGTCGTACGAGATTAGTTATGAAATACATATTTGTAGAGAAGTCAAGCTTGAGCTCGTCGATGATTCGGCGCCTTTGAAACGATCGTCGAACGGCTTGTTCGAGATATTCTTGCATAGCTGTCGGTGGAGCCGGGATGGCACGTTCTGGAACTCTTCCGAGAAGAGGGTCAACCTGATTACATGTGCGATGTTGACGTTATGGGCAAGGTTGGCAAGAAGGTCCATGTTATGTCTTTTTAGAAAATTTCTGCTGATAATATCTTTGTCTCTTCAAAGATTCAGCAAATCCTATTATTATGGTTTCCTTCCGTAGCATACAAATGTGTAGAGAACAGGGTACTGACTAGGTGGTTAGTGATGCACGCCATCAGGACGCAGTATGTTAGTTCGACCACCCCCAAACATCCTCTTGCAATCACCTGAGGACGCCCTATCCTCGCCATCCTCAAGATTGCAAAAAGATTTGCGCGATCAATTCTCTACGACATCTACGAAGGAGGCGAAATCCTGAAGCAGCAGTTGGAACAATGCGCAAGATGTTCGAAGACTTTGGGACGATGAATACGAGGGTACGACTCGAATGTTAAGAGTGGAGGGATTCCTCGCAATTAAATATACTGATGGGTCATATAGGGTTAAATAAATGATATTTACTCAATGATGTTGAGTAATGTGCAAAGCTTTTTGCCAGCCGGGACTCGAACCCGCATTACACTCTTGCCGGGACAGCATCGTACCACCACTAAGAAACGGTTATATGAAAATAATCTTTGTCGATCACATAATTAATATTTATCGTCAAGCTGATGTTCATAATCGGATTTATTTTCAGCGGACACGACGTCGATCACTGGTGAATCTGGACCTGCTTGACACATCAGAAAGCACCCATCCGTGTAGCAGTGTTGGGGGAACGGTTGTTAGTAGTCAGTTTCACTTTCCTCAATCAAAACCCTTTCTGAAGTCTTCACTCACTTTCCTACCCTATAGGACGTGCCGGTGAACACCTTGCCGAATTGTACACATCAAACTCTGAGAACTTCTACAAGTACGACGATTCAGCAAGGTATTATTGAGTATTGATTATATTTTCCACTAGTCTGACTCATCACGACTCTAGAAATTGTTCAAAGTGGCGTGACTAGCTGTGAATTTGGTTACTCTATTAGAAGGTCGCATGTGGCGCAGCGATTAGAGGTGCCCTGCGTCGCACACAAGGTCAATGGTTCGATCTCGCGCTCATGGCTCACCAAGCCATCGATCTCTCCGGGGTCGGTAAATTGGTACCAAGCAGGTCTCAGACTTGTCTGGGAGGATAAGCAGCACTGATTCGGTTCAGCGGGAGGACTCCGCGAGTCATTGTAAAGGCCAGATATTCATTCAATCACCTCAAACGAAGTTAAAAATTGAAGTCGAATGCATGGCGCATCCCTTAGGGATTGATCAACGCCGAGAGCTTTATCCTTTATCCTTTTTATTAGAAGGTCACAAACTGATGAAGCTATTGACACTGACTGGATACGCCATGCGTTTGTCTTTATCTAACATCGCTTGAGGTCATTCGAATAGACATCTAGCCCTTACAAGGACTCGCGCTAATCTACCGATGTATCAAGTTATTGCTGTGATCCCAGGAAAATCTGGTACCAAAACACCGACGCCGCTCGCGGAAGGCATGGTAAGCTTTGGCGCGGGATGGAGCCATCAACCATCGCTTGAGCTACGACGTGTGTGTCGCAGAGCACGCCTAGCCGCTGCTCCTCACGCGCTCTGTTACTTCATACACATGTACAACTATGGAGAAAGATGTAGAATCGGACTTTTTTATGCA